GGGGAGGGGAGGGGAGGGGAGCGGAGCCAAAGGGTCCCTCCCTTAGCCTTTCCCGATGCTTGGCTGGATTTTCTCAGTCCAGCCCTCGTTCCTCCTCCCTCAGCAGAGGGCAGGACCGGGCTGACCTTGGAAGTAGCCAGGTCCTGTTAAGTCCTTGCAGCGGAAAGCCCGTGGGGAACAAGGGGCTGCGAACTACGCTGGGACATGGAAGAGCTTTCCAGAAGAAGGCGGTGGCAAATCGCTTCCACAGAGTTGCCCATAAAAATGCATGGTGGCATTTTTCTTGCCTTTACTTTTTCATCTCAGCACGGACCTCACCTTGCTTGTGAAGTGATTACATCCAGCTTTCCCTATGGCCAGGCAACCTCATTTTAGGATTTTCCATGAACTCAGTATTTCACATGGTTTCCCATCCTAAATCAAAGGTTCTCATGGTTCTTTGTTGTCATGTATACATAATGAAGGTTAAATTTCAACACTTCATTCCTCTTTGGCATGTCCATTTCCAGAAACCTGGGCCCTTAATATCTCATAATTTCAGTCATCTTTTGAATGACTCATAAGTCCATTAATAATTATCTTCACTTACCCTAAGCTGAGAGACTACCTTTATTGCCAGCCAAACGTCTAAAGCCAGCCAGCTTGGTATAGTGATTAAGGCATCAGGCTGGAAACCAGGAGACTCTGAGTTCTAGACCCACCTTAGAACCAAAGCCAGCTGTGTGACCTTGGGCCAGTCACTCTCCCAGCTCTAGGAGGCAGGCAATGGCAGGCCGCTTCTGAAACGTTGCCAAGAAAACTGCAGGACGGTCACCAGGAGTCAAGACTGACTTGAAGCCCCTCCCCCCAAAAGGAAGATAGATACAGTAGAGAGAACAGTGCGGTCACTGATTCGTCCAAAGACTCGTAGCTCAGCCTGTGCCCATGCCATCAGTGAAGGTGGCTGTGCTGACCACAGACAGGGCTGGAGCAGCAGCCGTTGGCAGCCTCCGTCCTTTTGTGGTTATGTAAACTCGACTGTTAGTTGCAATTAGCACATTAATGTGTCCGCTTCTGGTCTAACAGCTGTAGAAAGATTTGTGTAATTTAGCATGTTAAAATGTGATGGTGAAAATAATATATAGCACAAGATTGATACTTTTTTAGCTTTTACACTCTCCAATCATACATAACCTGCTTAGATTAAAAATATTGCTCAGAAGTTCTTTACTCATTGTTATACTGCATGTTTCTCATGTATGCAAATTGCTTTTGTTTTTTGCAGCCCTAACAGATACGTCTTGTATGACTTGGTCAAGTACATTTATATGGTCATGCACAGACCTTTCTACCCGTATTCATTGCCTCGTCCCATCTTCCAGTAAGTCCGATTGTTACTTGGTTGGTGGTTGGTTACCTTGTAAGCTCAACTTAAGGATGTTGAATTCCTTAGTTTTTCTTCTTCTGCGTCCTTGTGCCTGTGCGCGTCAGGCAGAAAACAGACGTACAGTCCGACTGTGGATTGACCCTGGGAATTCTGGTTTGGCTTGCAGTGGACCCAAAGGATCATGAGAATGGGGGAGGAGCTGGCAGAGGGGCCAGCGTTAAGACATCCTCTTCTCTCCCCCCCCCCAAATATCTCGCAACAGGTTGCAGTTGCCATGTGGCTGCTTTTAAGGTATTACAGTAGAGTAGTTGAGGGAACTACGAGAACATAGAGGGTGTCATTTGAGCCTTAACCGGTGGATGGAAATTCAAGCTTGAATTCTGTAATTATAGTGTTCATTTGTTCCATTGCCATCAGTGGGGCGGAAACAGGCTCTGTATCGATCTGAGAGAACAATAACCTTGAATTTATAAACACCCCGAGAAATCCCACGCAATGCCTAGCCACCCTTCTGTGTCAAGCAGGGTGGTTGAACCTCCAGTTAACAGGGTGGGTGGGATTCATTTGTATAAGCTTATGTTCAACAGCTCTAGGCCGTACTCCAAGGGGGGGGAGGAATCCATTGATGTAAGAAGTGCTGATTAATTTTAATTACCTGTAAACTGAGGAGCCCATTTGTAACAGGCATCCCTTTCTTCCACATTTGCAAGTCTCTCTTTCTTCCACAGGCATAGACGAAAGTGCACACACTCACGCTTCTCTTTTTCCAGTGGAAGATCAAAAGAGGAGAAAAAAGGATGGAGAGCAGAGGAAGAAAAGAGAAGAGGCACGAGGGTGGAAGGGAAAGAAAAGAGCAAGCGCAGGAGTGGGAGGGTGTTTGCAGTAAGCCACCCAGGCATTTGTGGCGGGCTCAGAAACTGGCTAGCCCTGCAGGGGCTTATTCTGCTGCCAGCCTCCTTGGACTCAGGGAGTAGCCCACCCAGTGCTCTGTCCCTCGGGGTTCTAGTCCGGATTACAACATCTTCTCCTTCAAGGGGGAACAGGGTGAAATCCTTTAGGCCTTCTCACCAGCCACACATAGCCAGAGGGTGTCTGCAGTGGGGCAGGGCTCACTGCCTGTAACCGTTTTTAAGAGCAGTGTTCTCACTATATTTAGTAACTTTGTTGTGTTTTTAAATTAAAGAAACTTCACTCAGGTGCCTCTTAGCCTCAGAACTGAAAGGTTTGAAGCTGAAAGTAGTGTCTGGTTGCAAGCACTTTTTCAATGTAGGATGGAAAGACTGAGCCAGGATTAAACACAGAGAACTTTCTAGGGTAGATGGCGCTTGACCTCCTGTATGCCTGCTGAGAGGGCACAGCCCTTGTCCTCCCCATCTCCCCTTTGCCTTTTGCAGTGACAGCATCTTCCTATTCATTCTCTCTCCTTCGTTCTTTCGGAAAAGGTTGAGCTAATTTTCGTTCTTCAACTTGTGCACCTTCTGTTCTGTTTTCAGCTTCGTTTGACTCTGGCTCTCCAAGGGCTGCCTTGTTTCCTTAAGATTTACAGCATTGACAAAGGTTCGCAATGCAGACTTCAGCAAACACTCCTGGGCCTTTTCTGTCCTCCAAGACTCCCAGGAGGGCTTCCCTCTCCATTGTCATAAGGCCACCAAAGTGACTTGTCCTGCTTGTGAGCACTTTGGTGAAAATTATGTTATGGGTGGCACTAGTTATAATAGCTACCCCAACCATTATAACAAAAGACACAATCGCTACTGAGTTTTGTCTTCTAGCCTTCTATTGGCATTGTGTCCTGTCTTCAAACCAGCACCCTGCTAATAGGAGGCCTTGAATCAGGCCAGTAAAATCAGTTCTCCTCTCTTCACCAAGCCAGTTGAACAGCGATGTTGGGTGATCTTGAGGCCATGCATAGACGACAGTTATGTGCCAAAGCAGGAAAGAACCATCATAGCCACCTCCAAGGTGTGTCCCCAAATCCAGTCTAACAGAAGACCTCCTGGGCCGTATTCGTCATAATGCAGAGGCAAATACTTGCAGTGGAGTCAAGGAGATGAGCGCGATAGGTCTGCCAAGAAGGTATCAGAAGGAGCTTTCCTTACTGAGAGAGAATCTCTTAAATCTCTGCTCTGGGCTGAGAAGAGGCTCCCCCTGGAATAATTTAAACCCGCCCATAAACCACAACGGGGCTGGTTGCTCTTCCCTTCCAGCTGCTGCTTGCTTGGTTGCATCTCCTGGGCTCCTCTTCGGCCTTTGGGCTTCTGGGATCTCCCTCTAGTTTAGCCTTTTGGCTCAGCTTGTTGCAGAAGTGCCCGTGGCTCGTGTTACCAGCTCAGTGGCCCAGGACACCGAATGCAAGCCTGACTCTTTTCCTTCTCCTGTTGCTGGGTTTCCTCAAGCATGTGTGCTCAGCTCCTTACATGTTTCTGGAGAGTTTTATCCTGGGAGTTTAAGGCCACATAATAACCCTTAGCGGGCAGGCTGTAGCAGGGCAGTGAGCAAGCCAGAGAGATACCTAGGGCTGGTCTGCATGATCAGCTTGGCCCAGGCTGAGTAGGAGCAATGACCATTTGAATGTGTCAGATCCAGAATGCCGTGAGATTCTCCTGCCGCACTTCATGTCATTGCAGGCAAACAAGTTCACAGTGGAAGAGTGTGACAATGGACTTTTTAAAAGCAAATTCATTGGTGGACAATGCTATCTCTCTGTATCTGTATCTGTATATATCTGGCTGTCTCTAAGGGCTATCCATCTTGTCAAGTGACTCTGGGTGGCTAACAAAAACATATGTACAAGACAATTATGGACATGTCTTATTCTTTAAAAAACATGAGAAATCCAAGAGAGAAGAAGACTCTGTTTTCTTTTCTTTTTGGTTCCCCCAGTCGAGGAGGGGTAAAGAAAAACTGGAACCACCAATCTGGGGTCAGACAGAACATTGGGCCATTGTGGTGGCTGAAGCTGAAGAAGGGGATGAAATCCAGAAAAATATTTATTAAGCTGACTTAATTTGCAACCAGTTTATTCCCAGGAGGCAAGCCACTTAAGGGTGCGGTGCAGTGCAAAAGATGCCTAAAACAGCCAGCTGAGGACAGAGCTCACTGTGAAAAACTCAGCTTGCAAACGAAGGAATTTAGAGAGTGGTTTACATGCATCTGAGGAAAGCCTGCTGGCTGTCTCTCCTTCCTTCTCTTTCCCAAATGAAGGAAAGCATTCCCTAAAATTAGCTTTGATGTGTTTCCGTTGACAGTCCTGCAGGGTAGATTCTGAAACATCTGTTATAAGGAACACATCTGCTCTTGTGGATTGAGAACGATAGAAAACACCTTTCTTGTTCCATCCTCCTGGCCAGTCAGAGGAATTCTCTGTTTTTCTACTAATATCAGACAAAATAATTATTACACATAATGTTGCAAAATGTTATGACAGTGTGTGGAGTATGACAAGTCTAGGCCACTGTTATGAACTGGCTGCTTGATAGATAGCTTTTCACACTTTAATTCTTATTTTGTTTGTTTTGGAGTGGTTTTATATCACAAAGGTGTTTCCTTTAATAAGTCATCCACTGTTTTTATATTATTGCATTGGCATTAAGCATTTTAACTGGCTGGTCTTTGGTTGTAGGAACATTTCTTTTTTGTCTGCATTGAAATGAAAGTGATACTGAACTTCAGACACATAGTTTTAGACATCTAAGTTCACTTAACAACTTTAGCTCTCATTTTCCATTATATTTTACGGACTGTATTTTATCACTTATAGTTTTGTAGTAGCATTATAATTTTACTTACAGAATTTAAGGTGGTAATATCATCATAATAAATATTTTATCTAGACATCTGTTGGAAAACCAGCTTGGCCAAGAGAGCAAGATCACAACACTTCCTCAGTGGTCTTGCTGATGGGCCAAAGGACTAGAGAAGGGCAGATGGTCCCTTTTTCCAAAAAGAGGAAAAAAGAACACTAGGATAACTATAAATTGGTTAACTAACATGAATATGTAGCATGTTTTTTAGTGGCCTGGCAGGGCTGTAGTTGTGCTGGCTTGGGTCAGCAAATGGAGAGGGAAAAGGGGAGAAGAAGCTCAGTTCTGGCCAGCTGGTGAGCTTAACTGGCTGCTAGCTAGGGCTGTTGTGGGAGATGTAGAAACAGCATTCCCATTGGCCTAGCCTGGTACAGGTAGTCCTTGCTTAATGATCATTTGTTTAACAATGGTTTGAAGTTACGATGGCCTCAGAAAGCGTGCTTTGCATCCTGCACTCGCACTTATGACGGTTGCAAACAATTGCACCCCCCCCAGTCACGTGATCGTGATTTGCAACCTTTTTTACAACGCTCATAAAATGAATCTCAGTGGTTGTTAGGTTAATCACGTCATTAAGTGAAATCCAGCAGAAGACATCCATGGGGAAGCTGGATTCGCTTAATGACCACATGATTTACTTTACAGCCACAGTGATTCACTTTGCCAGTGTCATAAAAATGGTCATAAAATTGGGTCTGGTCACGCTTAACTGCCACCCTGCTTAACACTTTTCTGGTCCCTGTTGTGCTCGTTAAGCAAGGACTACCTGTATATAGGTGCTGGGGACTAGAGCCCTGGGGAGACATCCACCTCAGTTGCTGGGGAACATGCTGCTGTTCTAACCCAAAATTAGAGACAGAAAGAGGAGACTGTACAAAATGGAGTGGCTGGAGAGAAAAGTTGAGTTACTTGAGTGTGCAGAGCAATTGTTAGTTCCTGGTTGTGGGGGGAGAGGAAGAGTCCATGAGGGGCTTCCCTGGAGAAAGGAAAATAAAGTCCCAGAGAGACAACATCTTCACCCAAGACAGAAGGAGGGATTTGGCTGTCTGTGGTGAGGCCCTGGTCTCTGGGGAAGGAGTGGGCAGAAGACCCAGACAGGTTCTGCCCCCAATGGAGACGCAGACAGTGATCTGCTGAGCGGATCCAAGGAAAGGAGATGAGCAGAGCTGAGCACTAGCCGTAAATCCAGCAGATTCCTTTTCACTCTCTTTTGATAAGGCTAGAAACGGGAGGGAAACAGAGTGAAGGGAGAGGAAGTGAAGCAGTTAGCAGGGAAGGTAGAGGGGAATAGTCTCTTAGGAGGAAACCTAACACGGTGAAAGCCAGGATCTTGTTGTAAATACCTATTGTACAGTAACTTCACTGTACATAGTAACAGAGCATAAAAGTCTCCACTGGCTTGGTTTCTCTGTGTCAGTTGCCGTCCTTGCAAACCAAAGTACACTTCCAGTTCTAGAAGAACCCCGGCACACTGTGACAGGATACCAGGCAGAAAGCTGGAACAGATCATTAAGGAGATAGTTCGTGAAGATTTAGAAAAAGAATGCATTGCTTCTCAGGAAGAAGAGGTTGCTCATCTGTGACAAGCGCAAAGTGGTCTTCTGGGCATCTGCAAAATCCACCTTCCAGCTCCACCCCAGGAGCTGTTTTCACTCCTGCTTTGCTTTTCCTCTCAGCCTTTCCTGCCAAAGCTGTTACAGGCTGAGCATAAAGGGCATGTCCTTAGGGTAAAGGTGAACGCATTTTAAAAAATTAAAAACTTCAGTTACAATCAGACAATGTGCTGTTTCCCTCAATAAAATTTCTAGGTTGCGATGATTAAGAAGTATGTTCTGTTCAGTCATCAGAGAAATCTGATACTGATAATGATATATTGAAAACATTAATTAGAAACCAAAGCAGTTCTGGTTTAGATATTGTGTGTATTCACGTGAACAACTGAATTTATTTCAGTGTTGCTCTTAATTGCAGTTTCATTGCAAGATTTTTTGAGATAAATCCATTTGAGCCGCCGATTACAAGAGACAAAATTGATCGGGTAAGTGCAGAATTGCAATCATTTATACTTTTCATTTTCATTTTTGTTGTTTATAATATGCCTACCTTCATTAGCAAAAAAGACAACACAATAACCAATGTTACAAAATATGTTGTACCAAAATACAGAACATGAATGCATTTGCATTTTTTTTAAAGGCCAGAAAGAAATTTTGATTTTAACACTGAACACAATATTATTATGGCTTGTTCCTTAGTGTGATAGGGGCAATTCCTAGTTTTGCACTGGAATAAATCACTTCCATTTTGAAATACTGTAGGTGACATTTCTAAGGAAGGGAACAAGGGACAGGAAAATATGAAAGTCTTAAGATAAAGGAACTTGCCCTAAATGTTTTGCCTACTTAGTGCCCAGTTCAATTCCCTAGTCTTACCACACGCAGCCCTTGACTAATTTCACAGCACACATGGGTGGCTGTGTACCTGATTAATTCTGCATGCATTAGGTCTAGTGTGAGCATTGGAAGGTAAAGCTTTGCATTTTTATCCAATTTATAATTATTTACTGGATAATAATTTCTTTCTTCCCATCATACTCTTTCAAATGTAAGAAAACACATTACTCCCCCCCAAAGAACAAAAATGATCAATTTTCTAATTAATATGGAATCTTTTCAATAGCAGAAGGGAGTTTGTGATTTGTGAAAAATCAGCCCCTTCTTTAAGAGCATGAGTGGGAGACACCTCACGCCAGTGGCCTTTTCCCCTAATCTGCCTTGGCTGAAACGATTGCCCTATTTAATTATGGCAGAGTTAAAATGCATAAATGTACGTGGAATATAATTTTTATTTCTCTCTTATATGCTTAAAGCTCCACACCACTGATAAAAAGTTTCCCGATCTTCCTGGGTTGGAGGACTTGGGTATTTCCCCAACTCCTCTGGAACTGAAGGCAATTGAAGTTCTGCGTCGCCATCGCCAGTCCTTCTGGGTGAATACGGAACTCGAGGAGGCAAAACCAGCCAGTCCGGTCACCGATATGTAACGATGGATTTCTAAGACTTTCAGACTGAAGTTACTTTGGCCTCATTTGTCTGAAGAATTCTGTACAAAGCACGTTAAATTCTTAGATAAATCACATCCATCTCATTTTCCTATCATCTTTGCTTTATTTATGATCATGAGATGCCATCATGATGGTTACCTTCTTGCGGTTATTTAGCACTTGCAGTCTGAAGGGGAGGAGCTCTTGGCCTAAGGAGTGCGGCCCAGGGAGGAAGATGTGTTACAGCTGAGGTAGTTCAGCAGCCCCCAACCCTGAGGAAAGCTGGAAGAAATTACGCAACCTTTGCTTTTTTCGCCACTACGCTGTTCTTCCAAGCCACAAAGGTTTCCCTGGGTGGGGAGCCAGGAGCATCCTCCAGCGCTGCACCATGATGCTGAAAGGCCAGAAAGAAACTGATCCAGTGGGCCTGCCTGGCCGGGATAACCGCTCTTAGCCCAGTTTAAGTTCCAGCCCTTAATCTCCCTCTGGATATTGTTTAAAAGGAGTCTGATGGCATCTCTTCAGACTAACACATTTTGTTATCTGGCATAAGCTTTCATGAGCTGCAGCTCACGTTATCAGATGATAAACTCGTTAAATTGTTTAATCAGTTTAAACTGGGATGAGGTCCAGGGAAGGGAGGGGAAGACAGTGGCTACACAGGGACAGGTTACAAGGACCATTTCAATTAACAATTGTAATCTGTTAAAAATCCAGGAGGCTTGTTGAGACCTTCAGAGGTAGTCTGAAACCTTTGGATGTTCAGCAATCTCTCACGCTCTGGTGCTGACAAAGTTTCCTTTTTCCAAGATGGCTAATTTGGGATCTGTAGTGGAGTGTCCTGGAAGGTTGAAATGCTCTGATAGTGCTTTGCCCTTGTTTGCCCTACTGCAAGGCACAGGTCAGCAACCATTTTTTTTTACCTCGGGGACCATCTGTTGGGCACCCTTCTGGTATCCTTCACCAGGCCTCTGCTCTCAAGTAGAGCAAAATGATACAAAGGTTTGATCGCTGACCTACAGCCAGACATTCTGAAAAGTAAATCTCAAGGGCCTCAGAAAATACTACTAAACAAAGCTGCAGCAGTTGATGAAATACTAGCAGAATTGTTAAAACCTTAAAGATGATGCTGTTAAAGTGCTGCTTGTTTATAAGCAGGCACAGAAGACAGCCGCGGTCATGGAACGGGAAAGCTCAGCTCATTTTCTGATATCAAAAACCTGGTTGCCAGCTTCTGACTCTTGGTGATCCTTTATGCCTGAATCTTTGGATTATCCCACTTTACCACGGCCTCGCTTTTGTCCTGCCTTCGCTTGGCTTTGGAACTTCCTGGTGTGGCCTCTGTTTGCTCTTGGGACTGGTTTCCTGGTGCCTCTCTCTCCTGACTTGTTGATTCCTGCTTGACTTGTCCTCTTTGTTTGCTGGCCTCAAACATTCAGAACAGGATTTGCTATTCACTTAAAAAGTTTTATGAGGCAGCAACGTAGACTGGGTGGGTGGGGGGATTATAACTGCCAAAGCCTGTTAGACAGACCCAGAACATTACAAAATAACCTGTGAATGTTGACCACTGCAAACCATTTAAGCTTCAGGATTTCCAAATGGAATGCCATAAAACTGCAGGAACTTTATCACACAAGGAAATTGATTTGCCTGCTCTGACAGGTTCTTAAAGAATCCCATCCGGATGGCACTCACCAAGAGTTTTTAAATCTTTACTGCAGTTAGGAATATCTCTCTTAGGTTGTAAAGCAATTAAATTGTGAAGTGATTAAGAAGGTAAGGCTCTTGCCAGTCCAATGTCCATAAAGGCTGCACAGCAATTTAGGGCATGTAAATCACAGCGCTCAACCCACAACCACAAGAAACTAAATTCCTGCAGTTTTCTCATGAGGAGCAGCTCTTCCAGAGCACAAACAGTTAATCCCCTGATTTCCCCTTCCAGAGAAGTTTCTGCCAGCCAGAACCATCTGGCTGAAAATTCCACCGCTGTGCTGTACCTGCTTGCAGAGCCACTGGCAGAGACAACTAACTGGCCATAACCTCTCACCTGGAAGTTTTTAACCCCGGAAGGAGAATTCCTACTCAGAAAAATGACTTGCAGCAGAAAGATCTGAGTTTGGAGTCCTTGGTGCTCTCTGAGCTTGGTTGCTTGATTGCAGACATTTCATTACCCGACTAGGTAACATCATCAGTGCTGATGAGTGTGGGGTTTGCTACCGTTTTATATTCAGTAGCTTGCCCTACCCATGGACTCTGTGGGGTCCACAGGACTTGCCACAGAGACCCAAGAAAACATAAGGCAGACAATCATACCACAGACCAGAAGAACAGAATCAGAACCAACTCAAAACAGAGGACAGAGCAGTCCTCAAAAACCTAAAGAAGGACCAAACCATCATCATCCTCCCAGCAGACGAAGGCCGAACCACGGTTATCATGGAAAGATCACAATACGTACAAAATGCCAAAGAATTACTGGAGGACAGATAAACCTACATCCCAGGAAACACCAACCCAATTCAGAAACTAGACAACCTGATCAAGAGAACCCTCAACGACCCAACCAACAAAGGTCAAATCACAAAAGAACAGTGGTGAATGAAAAGCAGTGGACCCATCTGCCCACACTTCTATGGATGCCCCAAAATGCACAAGCCCAACATACCTCTTCGTCCAATTGTATTGTCACCAGGGGCCCCTACGTACAACACAGCGAAAGAACTTACAAAAAAGCTTGGACATCTCACAGAGGGGAGCAAATATTCTATCAACGCCCCACAACAGTGCCTCCAGAAAATGAAAGACTTAACTACCAAGGAGAAAACCACACCCACACCAACACTGACAGGGCAAGCTACCGAATATAAACAAGGAGCAAAGTCCATACTCACTAGCGCTGATGGTGTTACCTAGTCGGGTAATGAAATGTCTGCAAGCAAACAACCAAGTTCAGAGAGCACCAAGGACTCCACAATTCAACCCTGAACTTCATATATTCTCTTTTATTGGATCTGAGTTTGCTCAGACCACAAAGTGAAGGGGAAGCACTTTGTTCCAATTTTCATTTACTTCCTTCCATGTTATTTGTTCTCAAACTTTTCTCTTAATTTATGGACTCTTGTATAATTTATGAACTACTGTGCATACATTAGTTTTTATCATTGTGTCGCTTCCATCTGATAAACAGCCTTTCATTTGTTTACTATTAGAGAAAATTACGTATCAGACTCTTTAAATGTATCACTTAAAACTCTCCTGTCTGTAATCTTCAACTGGGCAAAATGGTGTGTCATAGGGCAACCATTTTTGAATCAAGGTACCTCAAATGGGCTAACTTACAGGATGCGTCCAAAATCCGGGACCAATGACTCCTGTGGGATGGAAATTTGGGAAATTTGTAGCCACTTCAGCGCTGCTGTGCTGCTGTTGTCAGCCCAGGTTACGTGATCGTCATGGGTGTATCCCTGACCTCTTTCCCACCTCCCTCTGTCCCCTGTGCCCAATCAGCTGATGGCAAAGCCCAACGGGCTAGTGGTGATTGGCTGCTTTGGAAATGCAGAAATTTGAAATCTCTTAACGGCAGTGGGCGTTGTGGGAAGGATGAGGGAGCAACTTGGATGCCTGCTAGTGAAGTAGGGCTAGGTGGAGGGCGCTGGTGGTCAACTGGTGAGCCCTTTTCCTCCCTTGAGGGAGGAGGCCCTTGGGGATATGCTGGAATGGGGAGCGGGGATGCAGTTTTCCTCACGGTCTGTTGCTTCCTTTCTTCCACCCCACCAGCAAAGTGGCAGGCAGTTCCACAGGTCAACTGAGGAGGGAGGAGGAGGAGGAGGCTCCACTGGTGCTCTCCTGAGGCTTGTGACGGGAAGGCAAATGGTGCAGGCCTGGATGGAGGGAGGGAGGGAGGGGGGGGGGGATGGAAGGAAGGAAGGAAGGAAGGAAGGAAGGAAGGAAGGAAGGAAG